TATAGGTATTTATATTTGTGATGAAAATATTGTCAAGCGAAAATTATATGAAGTTTATGTTAAATTCACTCTCGTATCTCTGATAAACGTAGAATAAATATAGATACCAAAGATACCTACAATTTTTGTGTAAATATTACAAAATTCATCGATTTTTATTGAAAACGTCCAGACCTTATTATAACATAAAATTATTTCGATGGCGCCACATCTTACCTTTGAATTCTTAGTCGTTTAAGTGCAGCTGACGCCGAAAGCTTGCGACATCTCAACCGGACTCAAGCATGCAATATGCGTTTATTCTCATACGCAACCAGAGGTAACAGGCTCGACCGATACGAACTATTAGTGAAAGCGTCGTTTTGTACTCCGAATGGGTAAAATCAAAAGTGTGTAACAATGTAGCGACGGCGCGACCTCTGAAGGCCGCAGCTGAGCAAACAACACACGTACCTCGTAATTACTACAGTAGCAATGACATCAGCTCTAGATGGCAAAATTTTTCAAATCTGAAAGTATTATTGTTTTTTATTAATATTTATAATTGTATAAATAAAAAAAGAAATAAACAGGAAATGCTTAGAATGGCTCTACTTTATTTTCATTGATATAAAATGATCTAAATATTTTTTATGGCACGTACCTATCTAACTTGACTTTTTTGTATAACTATATACGTAAATTGCTATATACCTAAATAAGTCAGATGAATTTATTTAATTTCAACCAATATATTGTAATTATCTCACCAAACAAATAAATACAGGAAAATGCATGGTCGGGACAGTCAACTTTGCTGTGTTAAACATAACGGTGATCATATTTATTTTGCGAAAAGTTCTCTCTCCCACGCATCCTAAACTCTTTCGCGGTACCACAATGCACAGGTGTAAATATTTATTTTAACACCTACCCGTTAACATATAATTTACTTTAGCTAAATTTATAACTGCCTACTTGGTCTCTGCTTGCCAAAAATCCTATTTTAAGACAAGCAGGCACGACATTAAACTTTGAGAAATATTGCCAATGTCGCATTATACCTGCATTAAAGATATATATTTATGTACACATGATGAAAATACAAGTGATTAAACATTATAAAAATACTTTGCATATTCCCTATAGGTTATGTTTAACTTTAAAAGTGTCTACAAAAGTGTGGCCTTGTGTGAGAGTTGAGACTCTTATTGCGTTACGTCGAGGGTCGTGGGTTCCATTACTATTTTTATTTATTAATTATATTTGTGTATTTATTATTTGTAATTGAACATTGATTGGTGGGTATGCGAAATCAGAATTTCCCACTATAATCTCCCTTTATCTAACAAAAGAAAATATTTTTTCTTTCTTAAAGATAAAAGTATATATTCATATTTTTCAATGAAGTATTATGATTTACGAATACCTACAGTTACTACTTTATAAGTCATCCTTATATTTTTGTTGTAGATAGATACATGGATAGGTAATATGTGTTTAATTCTATTTTTGTTTTTTCAAAACATAGATATGTACCATGTGAAACAATTTTTAGTTTCAAATATGAAAATAATCTTAGTATTCGTAGCTAATACCTACGGCCACATTTTTTAACAATATAAAGAATAAAGTTATTTGAAAAATGAACACAACAACTTAAACCGGTTGTCTCTATGTGTAGATTGCGAAGATTTGGCAACAACAATTATTATAAACTAAGAGGCATTTAAAAATACACTATCTTTACATAGTAGGTATAAAATGAAGTCGCTCTCGCTGTCTGTTCGCTTAGATCTTTTAAACTACTCAACGGATTTTAATGCAGTTTTCAGCAATAGGTAGAATGATTCAAGAGGAAGGTATGTATGTATAACACATGCATATTAAAGTATAGAAAAGCTGAGAAATTCAAAGATTTGTATTTCATTCTAACCGTTAACACGTACCTAATACTTAATAAAACTCCACAGTTTTTGCTACATGACTTTAGGAATCTTAGTAAAGTAAAATTTTAATTACAAAGAACTTTTTATATTCCATTTTTATTCGATAAAATGTTCGGGTGTCACTGTCCCTTTAAAATAAGATGTTAATTGCTTATTTACTTTTCAAATATTAAGGGTAATCTTGCGCAGGTGATGGAGTGACACCGACCGCGATGTTACGCGCTTACTCATTCGAGTGACGTCATCGATTGGTACATGAATAACAATCCGGTAAAAATCTAATGCGTATGTTTAAACTTGAAGCAATACATAGAGGGCAAACCTATTGCTTCGTTGAATCATGACGTGATTACAAGAAATTACAAAGTCATCGATATTTCGGAAGATTTTTTTACGACACGTGCCATTTTCGCTTGTAGAGTGACTCGAGGGCCGATCGATTCATCCGTGTTTATCATACTTTACTTTCATCTCGCATTCAATAACGAGGTCACTATGAAATTTTATGTTGGTATGTATTGATAATACAAAGGGAAAATATTTTGTAAGGCATCCGTAATCGCAATAGTTAATTTTATTGCATTATATGGTCTGCCATTGTACTGAGATTAACACTCACCCTCTACCATCTAAGTTAAAAGACGTGAGAGTCGAGAGAGAGATAATCGTAGGTACTTATATAGTATATGTTTTTACTTTTTATTATATTATTGTATTGTTTTCATAATATTAGTAGTCTGGAATATTTTATATTGAGTGAGATCTTTATGTAAAACATTGACACCAATTAAGTTTCTAAATTTTAAACGAAATAAAAGTTTAATATAAGTAATTATAACCTTTTAAACAATTATTATAGTTTTTTTGTGAGTAAACTGAAAAATATAAAAGCTATAAATCTGTTAAATATTATAAATGTGAAAGTTTGTGAGGATATTTGTTACTCTTTCACGCCAGAACCTGGGTCTCTGAGAGAATCTGGATGAAATTTGGCACAGAAATAGATTATAGTCTGGTATAACACATAGGCTACTTTTTACCCCGGAAAAATGTACGGTTCCCGTGGGATAGGTTTGTTTTTGTTTTATTTTACATAATAATTTTTCTCAATTAGCATACGTTAAAGGAGTAAAAGAGCATATTTTAGACGCTAAAACAAAATCTATACACAACAAAACCGTAATAATAATTATTATAGATTGCATTCTTAAGATAAAGCATTCACACGTACATGACGTACAATCACGAGCCACTGCGGGAGATGACTTTGTGGCTTGTTTTTGTAGCGTCAATAATAAATACAAAACCAGTTAATGAAGGAAGTGCTAGAAATTAGAATTATTTCCTTCATTAATTGATAGATCTAATAAAACTAATTACAACTTGATTTGCAAGTACATAAACATAATTATCTGATGTGTTAAAAATATAATATTGTGTTGTATAACTATAAGAGTTGAGTGAATTGTATCTTATTAAACACCAACAGCTTGTGTCGTATTTGAAGGTTTTGTTGTAAATTAGCGTGAATTGATAGAGACACAAGAGTGTCAGTTGTAAAGCGTCGCGTCGATATCGACCTTTTGATTGGTGGAGAATCATCAGACAAGGCTGGAGAATGTCAATCATATCGATCTCATCGTATTCATGCGCCAGTGGAAACAAAAAGTATCCGCATTTCACGCTCTTCACTTGCGCAACCAGTCCTACGCGTACTGTTTGTTTTTCGAGTGTGCTTCTATAATTAAATTTAGCAAACTATCTTCTACTTTAGATTAAGTTTGTGCAAGCTTTTAAAAATTCGAGTAATATAGCATATGATGATACTATTAAGTACTAATTAATTTTATTAATTTACTTTTTGGGGAAGGTTATGTTAGGTAGAAAGCACTTATACTGCCGTCATAAAAAGGAATGCCGCAACTTCGTTAAAATTGATTTCGAGATATTTCATGTTTTGTCTTAGTTATAACACAGAGCTTCATGAGTAAGACTATCAAGTAGCATTTCTTTTGCTGATTCCGAATCTGCATTAAGTCATTTTGTTAGTTAGGGCCTTCTTTATTACGACGGCAGTATACTTATCTATGATCTATTTTGTATATAATGTACTAGTAGTTAACGAACGAATATAAATTGTTGAATTTACCTCAATTCTCTCTAGTAAACCTGCTTATTATTAGACTAAACTCATTAACAGAATTTCTCATATATTGTTGACGCATAAAACCAATTTGTGTAATTTTAAGAGGAAAGTCTGTGGCTGTTGTAGTTGTACCATTGCTTGCTCAACACAGGCCCCATAAAATAAATATTCATGACCATTATCACGCTCTAAGAAACAGCGCCAAATGCGTATGATTGCATTTGCAGGTAGAAAAGGATTTAACGGCACAGTTATACGGGTTGTTATCATACTAATACGCATTTTAGGTACCTACTAAAATGTAATAGTAATAGCTGTATATACTCTGGTTACTTAGCTGAAATAATTTACATTAAAGATTTTTTAATGTGTTCGAAAAAATAATTCACTACCGAACCTCCCTATATAATGATACCAGAAATCTTCCTAGGAATTTAAAGCTAGATTTAATCAAATAAAATTTATGTTAGAGAAATCTACTTTATGAAAACTGATAAATGATTATTTATTGTATATTCCTTGTACCAATAAACGAAAGTTTTGCTCTCAGCCTCCTTTCACTAAAGTCTTTTAGTTCGCACTTAGATGTTCTCCGAGATAAAATAGATCGCAATGTCCGAATAGTTGCCGAGTGCGGTCAGTGAAGCTTTGAGAGAAAATAAATCTTCAATTAGGTCAATCAAATGCCACGCCTGGCTTATGCTGAATCGTAATTTGTTATTGCGTTTTTAATGTTTTATGTTTAAACGTATATTATTTGGCGGTTTCTGTGATGATGTCTAAATATTCTGCCTAAACCAAACTTATTTTTAACTTAGACATTTTAAATCTAATATCCAAGAGTAAATGAAACTTATAATTATCTCATTATATTAGCCACGTTTACTCGTTGTAAATGATTAAAGTCATGTTTCATTGTTTCACAGATGGCACAGTTGATAACTGTGCGACTGAACAAGTCGGACCAGCAGCCGCTGGGCTTCCGGCTGCAGGGCGGAAAGGACTTTGGTACACCACTCGTTGTACAAAAGGTAACCTCACGGATATAACTGTTAGGTATATTTATTTAGTCTAGTAAAGACATTGAATAATAACCTATTATACTTACGTCTCGGTTAATATTCTTCTTTACAAACTTATCAATATAATGAACGTAAAGAAAACACAGGTTTGAGTGTTTGTTAGGTTCCAACAAAGTAATGAACCGATTCCAGCGAAATGTGTAATAAAAAATAAAGGCTTTCGATGCCTTTAGATTTATTGCTGTTGCTATTTCCTAAACATAATATTTTGCTACGTGATACTGATGTTAGATACGAAATAGTAAGTAATATAATAAAGGTTTTTTAATAAAAGTGATATAACAGAAAGATATAATAATTTATGATATATTAAAATTTTTTGCTATTTTAACATGTAAGTTTAATCGGATTTTTCTAAGAATCTATTTAAAATATGTTAGACGAAATAAATATGCTAATGTAGGAAAGCCTCCCACGCACGGTTAACGACCGGTCGATATGTCGAGACATATTGTAACAGACAGTACGTAGGTATATCTACTCGATAAGCTTTACCTTAATATGTGCCTGCTCTACAAAAACTGTATTTGCTTAGAGTCGGTTTACTTCCTTATGTTTTATTGATGTCATCCACAAAAACCCGGAAAAAGGTAGAAAGTAGCCGATAGGCAGTGTGGATGTTGTCATAATTTGATTGATTACATTGATGAATTAATAAAAACATATACTTCTAACAACATTATATAATGTAAGTAAAATCCGTAAAGTTATAGGTACTAAAGTAAAAATATTTGACTTATATGATATAAATTATAATGTATTTAAAATGTCTCATCTATACTATCTACCTATATCTATACTAATTATATAAAAGTCTTTGTTGTATGTTTGAACGGATTAAGGTAAAAATCTATGTAACAAATTTCAATGATTTTTTTTTAAATATTCCTTAGGATTACAGAAGTGGTATATATAGGCTATGTTATATTACATTTTTTAAATAAATTTGGAAGTGGGAGCGGCAAAGCTATGTCTGTAATGCTGCCGGTAGCGCGGGTAAAAATGCGGGAACGAGCATTATTTTACATTATTTTTAACTAACATTAACCGTATAGAATGTATTAAAAAATCGATGTGAGTATGTGTGTTCCCTATGAACTCTAAAACGGCCGAAGTGATTTTCATGAAACCAGGCAATCTTCAGATTATACCAGCAGGTGATCCTGTGAAGTTTGGTAGCGATTGGAAGATTAAAGGCGGGCGAAGCCGCGGGTATTGCTAGTTAATAGATATCCGTAATTACTAATGATAAAAAAAGTTTGGCTGATACGCTAAAAAGATTCCCAGGACTAACTGTAATTTGATGCTATGAATATATCTTACCTACATATTTTTTATGAATGTCAAGCGCACTTCTACTTGTATTTAGTATTTGTCACGTTTTATCAGTTTTTAGCTCTTCAAGTGGGTGATTAGTTATCCGAAGGAGCTTTTACCTCTCATTAACTGTTATATGGCCTCGTTAAAGTAGTTTCGACACGCGTCTTCACTTTTAAGGCCTCATCGGGACTTAAAAGTTATCTCTACCTTCAGTACCAATTCCAACCGTATTATTCTCATCTTTGTTATATCTCGTGCGTAATGCGTTAGTTAAATTCATTATATATTCCACGCCTTATTTGTAAACATAAGTTCATCTCCCTAAGTGGATATTCTTGTACTGCATGCGGCGGAAGTAGAAACCGCGACCTTTGTGATCTTAGTATACTACATGACCTACAGCTCAAGAGTTATAGTTAAAGTAGAGAAACTCCTATGTTTTAAACGACATAATGTATTTGTTTGAGAGATCTTTTGTAAGTCTACGACGGAATGTCTTGGCATTATAATTAAAACAATTGAGGATTTATAACTGCCAGCCAATACAGTATTGAATAGAAATAGCATGTCTTGGTTAAGATAATTAGTTAGAATCACGAAATGACGACACTTTATCATGGGTACAAGGCAGCGATACTTCATCTTTCTTATTAGATTTAGCTTCGACCCAATTGGCTTCGTTAATCGACCTTGCTTTAACTGTTAACTAAAGATTAAATATATTTTTTATAATTTTTATATATAATTTTCAGTTTTATTAGGTACCTGTCATTAAAAACTTTGTGTGAATTTAGAAATGCAGTGGAAACATCATTTAAAGTAGGTATTTAGACTTAAAATACCTGTACAATTAATTAAAAAAGAGTGATAGAAGATTATATTTGTATACTTTTAACGACGGCAAAATATATTTGCATAATCTGCTTAAGTGTGATTTTTATTCTAGCACTTAACATAGTCGATAAAAGTGACGAGATTACATAAACGTTATTTATTATTTACTTACTAGTGATTTATTTTTATATTATATTTTTATCTAATGCTTAATGTCGCCTGTGTTTGTATAAATTTGTAGAAATGGAGAGGTACCTGTAAAATACTTTTACATAAAATCTTTTTTTTTTTCATAAACGAAAATAGGATAAAATATAGGTATAAATTAACTATGTATAGAAGAGTCATACATATACTTAGATTTAATATACACAGTTTATAATAATTACTTTGGCCAAAATATATCATATGCTGTAAATATTAAGGACCTACAAAATCTATCTGACCTTAAAATCAATCAACTGAACCCACAAGACTTATCGATCATGACGGTCAAGTATGTTCAAATATTCAAGCGTAATGATGATGATTTGCGATGATCAACGGTACTTTTTCTTGTTTCATAGTAGTTTGATTTGACTAATGATAGTTTAATTTTAATATTTAAACATTTTTTTAGTTTTTTATTACTCCCTAGCATTGCCCGCGGCTCCGCCCGCGTTCAGATAACCAAAACCAAATACTTAGGCTTTACATATTAGTATACTCTTACATTGCAGTTTTTGTATTTTTCTCAGAAATTAGATATTTTCCCGCAGTAAAAAGTATCCTATATGTTGACCCGGATAACCAGCTATCACCATACCAAATTTCATCAAAATCTCTCCAGTGGTTTTTCTGTGATGCGGTAACAGACAGACAGACAAAAATTCTAAAAACTATAGATTCGGCTTCTGTATCGCATATAGTCTATTTCAATAAGATTTTTCAAAAAATATTTGATGTACAGATTCGGCTTAGTTACAATTTTATTATATGTATAGATTATTATAATTTTTAAAAATTTTCACATTGTTATTTATCAACGATGTTAAATATTTTTATCGTGTACCTAAGTGGTAGGCAGGGGTTAAAGGTAAACTGGAGTAATTGAGTATTATATGAGTGTCTGTCAGTTCATTGAACTGCTAATTCCCGGATCTACATGGATGTGCCTAATCATAGCGAAATGTTTTGTTTATAAAATGGCAAATGCTATTAGAGAGGTTAGCAACTCGACCGCTTATATCTCTGTTATGTATGACGCGGATAATTCATGTGGGTGTCTACAAAACGTATGAATAGATGTCAGTTAAAGATTAATCTGCAAGCAAAAAATGCCTTGAGATATTACAGGTTTTTTTCATTTCTGACGTCACGTAAGCCTATGAGAATGTGGCGTCTATTATGTTAATTATAATTTATTGTAACGAGATTTAACGAAAGAAAAACTGACCATGTTAATATGTGTAATTTAACATATAAAAATTAAAAATACATCTCAGTTATACTAATAAACAAATAAGAACTAAAGAAGTAGTACGAAATTTTTTCGGAGTGGATCATCTAAAAACTCAACTTATCGTCAATCATCAATGTACTAGAAGGTTATGATGTACCTACTGGTAGATATCTATACATATAATAAAATTCTAACTAAGTCGAATCAGTACATAAAATATTTTTTGAAAAATCTAATTGAAATATACATTATTATCGATACAGAGTCCGAATCTATAGTTTTTAGAATTTTTGTCTGTCTGTCTGTCTGTCTGTCTGTCTGTCTGTCTGTCTGTCTGTTACCGCATTACGAGAAAACAACTGGACAGATTTTGATGAAATTTGGTACGATGATAGCTGGTTATCCGGGTCAATCTATAGGATACTTTTTACCGCAGAAAAATATCTCATTTCTGAGAAAAAATACAAAAACTGCAATGTAAGAGTACTTATACTAATATGTAAAACCTAAGAATTTGATTTTTGGTCATTTGAGCCGCGGGCAATGCTAGTGTGTCTATAAACGTGCCTAAAATAGGCACCTTTTTTTAACTGAGGCAATTTAAAATGATAAAATGACATTGAATAGTTCAATAAATGTGCAGTGATCTTGAGCTAAATATTATATATCTAGTGTTAGCCACAAGATCAGTAGGGAAATAGGATCGAAGATGATGTAACCGAGACAGGTTTTAGCTGCATTCCAGGGTATGTCGCCTCACCACTTTCCTGTTCGCAGTGTCTGGCACACCTAATGATCCATAAAATTGTAATTATCAACTTGCTGCAGTAAAATATACCATAAAAATGTATAAACGGGATATCAGCTCATCGCGATGAACTGAGGTTAAGAATATCATCTATCTATAGGTAAATATAATAAAAGTGTAACTGATCGCTGTCTGTACATGGAAGATATTTGAGAAAAACTATCATTGGGGGTCTTTATTTATGCAATAGAACCCAAAACAATGATTTTTAGAATTTTTGTCTATTTGTCTGTTTGTCGTTTTGTCTGTTTTTCTGTGCGTTTGTGCGCGCTAATCTCAGAAACGGCTTAACCGATTTGGATGCAGTTTTCACTAATATATTGTGGTAAGCTTCACTTAACATTCAGTTTTTGTTTTATTTCAATTGGTTCATAAATAAAAAAGTTACGTCAATTTAAAGAATCACCGAACCCTTGCAGAGCGAAGGTGAGTTGTTAGTCTATGAGTAAATCAACTACCGAATGAAATAATTTTTCTATTTGATGACTTTATTATTTAGGATTTAGCTTGTCTTCGTGTTAGATATCTAAAATAATTTTCGATAAC